TAAAATATCATCGAGGTAGGAATAAGCGAACTCTAGGCCACGAGTGACATCTTGGCTGAAGCGTTGGAAGGTTTGTGCGGTATTGCACAGTCCAAATGTCATTCTTAAAAATTCATGCAAGCTGAAAGGAGTGATAACGGCTGCTTTAGAAAGGTCATTTTCTTCTACAGGTATCTGGTGATAGGTGCGAACCAGATCGATCTTACTGAAGATCGTCTTACCTGTGAGGCATGCAGTAAGGTCCTGCATGTGTGAGATGGGATACCTACTTGGGACGGTTAGCCGATTAAGTGCGCGGTAATCACCGCAAGGGCTCCAGCCATCAGATTTCTTGGGGACCATCTGCAAGGGAGAGGACCAAGAGCGGATTATTCCTAGTTCGAACATGTGCTCAAACTCCGCCCTAGCCACCTTTAGTTCCTCGGGCGATAGTCAGCGTGGACGGCATGGGACTGGTGGGCCATTCGTCCGTATGTGACGCGTGACTTTGGATGCCACGGGCAAAGCTGCCTTCATTGGCTGAACGAGCTTGGAATACTGGGAATAGAGGTTGGCGTAGTCTGGCGAGGTCTGGGGAAAGGCGTAGACTGATGTTAGAGAAGCGACATCGGTGGTGATGCCATGTACACTTAGTTTTGTTGCAGTGTCAACTATGATCTGGCGTTTCGCATCGACCAAGAGGTCGAAATGCCTGAGGAAGTCAATGCCGATGATGGCCAAGGGGACTGCAGCGACAGTGAATACCCAGGGGAGTGTGCGCTGAAAACCTAGGTCCAGGGTAAGCGACCGATGACCGTAGGTGGCTATTGACCTGCCATTGGCGGCACTTAGGCTTGTCGACAAAGAAGTGGTAGGCTCACCTGGCATAGGGGGAATGACGCCGAATTCCGCCCGGTATCAACTAAGAACTGGGTCTCGGAATCAATCGCTAGTGTAGACGAGGCGATTTTGGACTTTGCCGACACCGTTAGTCGCCATTACGGGCCGGCCTGGAAGTTTCCCTGCTTCACGACGGAAAAACTGCATTGTTGCTCGCACTTACGGGCTTTGTTACCAAAACGTGTGGTAAAAGCAAAAGCCTGAATTGTTACGCTTCGTGCGACGGGATGGTGAGCAAGAGTGGCTGCACTGCTCAAAGTCTAGGGAAAGTTTCTCGACTTGGCTTTGTAGTGACGCTATTTGCGATGATAAAGCCTCGATTGCTGGCGGCTCACTAGTCGCGGATGTCTCTTTGGCTGCCAAGGGGCTAAGTCGAATGAATGTCCTAGATTCGTTCGTCAGGTGATGTCGTTCGAGGACACGGTCTGCTAGTTCTGCAACTGTTGCGAGAGGCAGAGCGCTTGCCACGGCGATGATGGCCTGTGTTTTTTCCAGGAGGCATTGCATTCACATTTTGCGGAGAATTTTAGTGTCCATGCTGGATGTGCCTAGAAGCTGTTGCATCTGTCGCAACAAGGCTGAGGGCATCTTGTCCCCTAGCTGCAGGTCCCTAAACAGTTGCTGCAGTCGGCCCTTGTCAGAGGGCGTGATTCCCTGGATGATCGCCTGCTTTAAAGTCTGCTATTTCGCATCGCGAGGGGCGGGGGGTAAGCTATGATGTCTCACGTGGGAGGATACATGTTGCGGAAGGCGGGACAAAACTTAATGATATTTAGCATTATCAGACGAAGTTTTACAATTGTAAAAAGTGGATTCTAAATGCGCAAACCATAACGGGTCATTCTCCCCTCAAGGTGGGGAGGCTAGCTCTACGGCACTAACCACGTACGTAGATGGTTTATCATCAGGACTATTCATCGTGAGAAATGGCTAAGTATACGTGACAGGTGAGAAAACAAAACGATACCAAGTAATGTATCAAAGTCACTGGAACGAGCTCACCAGAATGCAAGTTCAAAATGGCGGACGGCGTGTTCTGGACCGGGGTCACAGCTTGTTGTGTGGAGCCTGGGATACTAGTCCGTACTCAGTTACATGTAAGAGTGTCAAATACGGGGCAATATAGAAGTTGGAGGCGACTGAACCCAACCTATATTGTGCAGGCTACAAAAATAGGAAGCGAAACAACCAGCGCGAGAAACGGTGCAGCAAACTACTCACCAAAACGATTTGTGTCAACGGAAGTGCCATCAGTAAAACAAATGGACGTTTTTTTGAAAGGTTACAACGACCGTAAATCCGGTGTTACAAAATACTGAAAGCGCATGTTTTCTGGTACACTACGATGGAAGCCGAACCAGCTGATAGATTGGGCACTTGAGTAGACTTCTGTCCGCTACACCACCTTGTAATGGATGGCCGTATAAGGCCAGGTTTTCACTAATTACCGCCTGCCGGACAGAGCAAGACAAGTCCGGTCAGCGGTTATGTTGAATAAGAAGAATGTTTCGTAAGCAGTGATCAGAGGGGACTAGTCCGCCACTGTATTCAACAAGCGGTGACCATGTCTTTGGTCCATACGATAACAGTAGTCGTGTTGAAGCGTTGTACACACCCCCCTAGGACCCATGCGTCGATGCTTCTCTGGGTATGATTGAGACAATGAAAATGGTTATAGTCCCACAAATGCGTCCAGTAACTACTTGGGTGAGCTTATCGCTGCAAATGATAGTGTTACCTAGTAGAAGGAGAAATGGATTAATTCCTCCAAGTGGTTCCTCGTTCTTTCTTAGCTGTCCCTTGCGTTGACTTCACTTCTGAGGTCTTGTTGTAAAGTCTATCATAGTTTGTCTGCTTTAAAACGGTCTGTAGCTCCCAGCTCAGTCGATTAGCATGAAGACGGATTTCATTCACGCGTCGAGTTGTCATATAAATTCGTTGTCTTAGGAATGTTTTTCTCACGTTGAAGGCTACTTTAGCATGTGTGTAAGATCTGTTTGGTGGTCTGACAACGAAGCCTTTATGAATAATCCCACATTTGAGACATCTCATATTGAAGATACGATGATTTCCCCAATACGCTTCAACACCGGCCAAAGGCACGAATTTAGTAACCAACTTTCGAACATGTGGTCCGACATCTCGGTATATGCTTAGAACCCGACCAAGATCTCATGATGTCAGAAGATTTTGAATACAAATCGGTTTGTGTAGGGTTTTATTATGGCAACGTTTCGCCTTTCACGCAAGACCTTCTTCAGGCCAAGTGAATCGGTGCACAATTGGCTTGGTATTTTAGGGGAAAGTAAGGTGAAGATTGCAAAAAAGAACATGAATCATTGGATAACAGTGTTACGGGTCAATAGATCAAGTGGCCACTCCAGTTTAACAACAAGCATCGAGCGTTTCTCGTTGATCAGCGTCACTGGTCATTCACACGTTAGGCACTCCTTTTCCTGCAGTTAGGAGAGAGCTACGCACGAGGATAGCAGAACACAAGAGGTCCTTTTCGCGTTCATCGAAAAATCAGCCTGAATACAGGGCCTACTAAGAGAATCAGCGGTGGCCGTACACACGCTAGATGCAGGACACGGGAGTGACGGGGACAATGTCGCGACAATTAAGAGAGGATTACCAGTAACAAACCTAAGGTTGATTACTGAGACGATTGAGATTATTAAGGCTAATACCTGGGTGAACAGAACGGACGGGTGAAGTTATCGAACTCGTGGCGGCCTGTCTTAACCCGGGTCAGTCAGAAATGGTGTTGGCGAACGAACTCAGATCAGAGTGTGAATCAGCAACTGCAGGAACAGGAATGCCTCACAGGTGAATGAGCAGTGACGCGGATCAACGAGAAACGCTCGATGCTTGTTGTTACACTACAGTGGCCACTTGATCTATTGACCTGTAACACTGTTATCCAATGATTCATGTTCTTTCTTGCAATCTTCACCATAATTTCACATAAAAGCTAAGCCAATTGCGTACCGATTCACCTAGCCTGAAGAAGCTCTTGCGTCAAGAGCGAAACGTTGTCATAATAAAAACATAAAAACCGATTTATACTCAAACCCTTCTGAAATCATGAGATCCCAGTCGGTTCCAAGCATGTTCCGAGTAGTTGTGACTAATTCAGGAGCATTTCTGTATTCACTCGAATACAAATCGGATTTGGCCGATAAGGCCTATCAGTTTGACTAGCCTTTTATTCACCTGCTTGATCAAACCCGTAAAACACCCGACTCGCAAAACACTTAGTTATCACCAGCGGATTAGAAAAAGATGTGTGACTACAAGGGGAAATGTCGCCTTTCACCAGTGTGTTATGCTTTCTGGATGAGACTGCTCGATAGTATGATATTAGTGTGTCTCTAGAGGTGCTATCTTGGCTTTGCGAAACTTTTGATTCCTCGAATCATCGTTACTTACTAGCACTACAGAAATGATTTGGTTGGTTTTCCAAACTCTTATCCGGTTTGTTGGGATGCGTTCGTGGGAGAACACTTTACTTTAACCTCTGTACTACAAGCTATAACGCATAGGCTTTGTGTGCAACTGTGTTCCTAAGCATTTGGCACCAGGATCAGTATTATTTCTTACACTTATAAGCAACCTACTGCATCTTCTGGTGCACCGCTTCTACCTTTTTACGATCGACTTAAAGCTAATCAGCAGAGGCAATTAAGTCATAGATCAAATTCTTCCGTGCCGATGATAATGTTTGATATAATTAAACCGCTAATCGGTAAATGAAGTTATCGCCTGCTGTACGGCGTAAAGGCGCTTCGCCGCCCCGCTACCACCACCAGTCGCGCACGGGCTGAGTAGACCGCGAGGACGTTAACCCCTACGCGGATTCGAACCAGTGACCTTATGTTTGAAAACCAGGCGCGCATACCCCTCGGCCGCCGTCCGTCCCGCTAATTGTTACATTTCAACAATGTGCTAACGAGTTTTTTGAGTTAACTCAAGAGTTGCGATATGCTTATAACCTTATTGAAACGTCTTTCCTGCACATAGCTGGCCCGGTGAGATACTGGTTTGTCTGTAACCACGCTTGTTGGTCTATGTGAGCATATCACATGATGGATATCATTTAATAACTTTTGCTCTTTGTAGCATGGGACTTCCCAGATGGCTGCCAAAACTCACCACCCGGTTCAAACGGCAACCGTTATTTCACTCAAATACTGCCTAGTAATTCATCAATGCGCACTTATGGTCAGCTTGCACTTTTGTTTCGAACGACAATCTTTAATCGCGCAGGTCTTGGCATGCATATTCATCGGCTTTTCTTCTTGGCTGCTGTTGTGGACTGATGAGTATACACTGTTGGAAACAGTCACTCAAACGTATTACTACTCTGCCGGTCGGCTACTGCTCTTGGTCGCCTCGCTGTGCTCAGCGTTATTGGCATTGTTCGGTTGCTGTATTGTGAACTTGGAGGCATCTGCGTCTATGCTAACGGTAAACAACGGTCATACACTATTTCTATTAATGTTGTTGGTCCGCAGCATTCTATCTGCTCTATCCTTCTAACCAGCATGTTCCTTGGCACCGCAGCCTGTGGTTTCAACATTCTCCGAGAGGTAACCTACCGTATTAATCGGCAGTCGTTGTCATTGCAAGCCTTTTTCAGTTGCGATTTGTGCTTCCGAAAAAATTACATTTCGCAATGACACGCTACTACGGCATTAATTCGATAATTGGCAGAAATCGGGAGCTCACACGAGCTATTGATGATATTCAGTTCAACGTAAGTCTCTTTCGTCTTTGTTTGTACTCATCGAACTGACAACTTTTGACAGTTCAAATGCTGTGGGATCGCTGGGGATCGAACTAGTTCTTCCTCTTGGTTTATCTATCGCGAACAAAGCACATGGTACTATCTATCCAATATGAAGAATTGTAAGTACCACTTGCCGTCAGCTTGCCAGTTATTGCATCAAACGCGTTATGTTCACATTGGATTAAAAGCACCCACTGACAGACTGGTGTACGCCGGCCCAGTCAAACATCCAGGTCATTTGGGTTGGCGCGATGTCAACCGCACCATGCTTGATCCCTGGTGTCCGAGGGATGGATACAATTATTGACATATAACTATCTCACGTTGTCCTCTAAAACACACTTATGTCTCTGAGAAAGCAGGGACCGCTGTTGCTACCTGTGATAACTTTTGTTTGTTTTTCATATGATGCAATTCCCGTATCGTGTCAAAATTACCATGTCAGTAAATGGAGGATGCAGGAATGGGTGTCATTTGTGGTCATTTTAGATTCACTGGTACCCTGAGGGCATCGCACGCTTTCTAAGCTTCCAAAACACCCATGGTGAATGCATCTACGAGCGATTTAGATGGTTTCAGCACAATCTCTTACGCCAAACCACCAGATCGATTCAATTAAACAGTAACTGCGTACAAGGATTCGTAGGAACTCGATGCAAACAATCTGTTATCATCGCGCCGATGCCTAAGAAAAGATCCGCTGAAAGCCAAAATTCTTTATAACACTTTCCAATCTAGTTCGTTTAAATAGGCTTCGATACCAGGCTGCACTTTGTAAACCTTGGCACCCTACAGCGCTAACTTGATCGTGACCTTTTTGTGTAAGCTGGAGTTTACCACTGCGTCTATCATGAACTTTTTGTCCGCAGTCTCACCATGGTCATTGCCTGGGTGCTGCGACAAAGACACATTATTAATCTGGTAAGTACCAGATTAGGTGTGCACAGTGTCAACTACTGAGTCAGGATTACGTGCATGTTGTACGTAAACTGCTAGTACATGCGCTCTGTGTGGCATCTAAGTGGTCAGGTTCAAACGTTTCATTGATAGGGATCATCCGTATTACCCGTAAAACAATCGGTTAGGTCACAGGAGCGAAAGTGTTAAATAGAGATTTTTCTTACACAGGCCATCGAGTTGTGGGAATCCGAAGTCTACGAGCAGTTTCAGTTAAAAACACCTTCTGACGCGGTCAGATATCTAGTCCGAAGCTAACACACTTGTCGTCATGCCCAGCAGGCTGGTTTCTTCATCCTTCTTTCCATATTTCACAATATCAAAATGACCCCACTAATGACTTTCTTACTGGTTCGACCAGGGGTGTCCGAACATTTTGCAAGGTGGACCACATTTTGTGTGATAACAATACGTGGGGCTATACTCAGTATGACTTTAAGATAATAACAATAATTACACATGTAGGAAAATGTTCAAGCCTGAATTTCTTATTTCATGTAGAGGCCGCGCGCCAGTTGAAATGTTATCGCAGGCCGAACTTTGGACATCACTGAAGTAAATGATACTTAAGCACCAATTTGTCTCTCGCGGTGGATACCAAAACCGTCTAGGTGCGTACGCCTACAGAAGGCGGCCTGCGTTACAACCCTTCCGCCACACACACATACACACACGTTCACGCATGCACGCATATGCACACACCATGCCTGCTACAAGTCCAAGGGCTTAACCCCAGCTGGTGTGAGAACTAGTGACCCAATGGACTCGCGGTCAGTGCGCATTCACTCAAAACGAATAACTCGTGGCTAGGTGACTCCATCCATGGGTCGTCAGAATAGTCCGACACTGCAGAGGCAAAGTAGGCCACATCATCATCATCATACACGTTAGCTAGAGGTGGGGAACACCTCAGCTACTGTGCCGCAATACAAAGAAAAAAATGAGAGAGAAAAAGAAAACAACTGGTGCAAGTCGGCTGAGCTACCGGTAACGGATGGACATCGTTCCGGTAAGCTACCAGCCGGCTACCGTGCATTAACAAATTACTATGCAAAATTATATAAGGCTAAATAATGAGATCGTGGTTGGAGGGGGAGGCTAAGAGGGATGGGGTGGGACAAAGAAACTCACAGCACGAACGCCACTGAGGTCGGCTCCTAGCCATTTCAGCAGGTGTGTCCAACCAAACGTGTTCATCGTCTTTCGGGCCCCAACCAGGAAGCCGAGACGCTCCAACCGAGGCCAGCTCAGAAGTGAGGGTCTTCATTCATCTCGACCAAGTCATCGCTTGGCCACCCCTCCTCTTCTTCCATCCACACCTCCGGCGCGCAAACAACACACGTCGCGGGAGTCGGTGGGCTGGCATGCGTAACACGTGGCCGAGCCATCGGAGCCTGATGCGTGAAATAACGGTGCTGAGCGGTTCATTTTCTTTTCCTGTGCCGTAAACAAGGCGTCGAACACGCTCGTTGCTCACGCGGTGTTCCCACTAGATGCGAGCTAAATTGCGAAGGCACCGGTGGTCGAACGTAACTAGCCTCTTCAGGTCCGCTGCTTTAAGCGGCCAGGTTTCACAACCGTACAGTAGGGTCGAACGTACTGCTGCATTGTACACTCTACCCTTCAGGGCAAGAGTGATGTCGCGCCGGCGCCATAAGTTGCGAAGGTTAACAAAAGCGCCCCGAGCTTTTGCTATACGTTTCGTGATTTCATCTTCAATCCCACGGGCGCTGATACAACTTCCCAGGTAGTTGAATTTTTGAACGATTTCTAGCTGATCCCCACCAAGGGTCAGCGTAGGAGGCAGTCCAGACCAATCTTGGAGGAACGCTTTGCACTTCGAGGGTGCGAAGCAAAGCCCGAAGTGACGGACAGCTAGTGCTAATCTGTCCAGTGCCGCTTGACACGTCTGGGAGCTGTCACAGATTAGGGCAATATCATCAGCATACTCTAAGTCAAGAAGTCGTTCTACTGGGAGCAGATCCACACCTTCTAAGTCGTGTTCTGTGAACGCGATTTCCATGATTTCGTCAACAGCGAAGTTGAAGAGGAAAGGTGACAGCGGGCATCCTTGTCTCACGCCGCTGGAGATATTAAAGGGCGACGACAACTTGCCGTAAGCCCTCACTCTGCCCGAGCTACGCGCATATAATGCTCGGATAATATTCACATATTTCTCGGGAACACCTTTCTTGAGTAGACAGTCCCAAAGTGCATGTCTATCCACCGAATCGAATGCACCTTTGATATCGAGGAACACGACAATGGTGGGCTGCCAATATGTGTGACGGTGCTCCAACAACTGACGCAAGGTGAAGATGTGATCAATGCAGCTACGACCTCGACGAAATCCAGCTTGCTCTTCACGAATCTGGCTTTCACGAGTGCCAGTCAGTCTGTGAAGGATGACAGAGGCAAGCAATTTGGAGGCGATGGAGATCAGACTGATTCCTCTATGCTTGCCGCATTCCGATCGTGAGCCTCCCTTGAAAATTGGGACTATGACGGAGCGGCTCCAGTCGGTTGGGACAGTTTCCTGCTCCCACAGTTTCACTAGTAACTCGTGTAAATCATCCACAAGAGCAGGTTCCCCGAATTTGAAGAGAGCTGAAGGAAGGCCATCTGGTCCCGCGGCTTTATTTAACTTCAACAGTTTGATCTCATGTTCGACTTCTGAGCGAGAGGGTGGATCCAAATGAACAGCCCACGGAGCAGGGCGATCACTGGTCGGCAAGAAATCTAACAATTCCGACCGATTAAATTGCCTTTCAAAGTGCTCAGCCCAACGTTCCAGGCGTTTTGATAAGTTGTGGATAGGCTGTCCACTCTCGTCACGTATAGTTTCACTAACACCAGGTCTCCTGCTGCCCGTTTCCCGTATAAGACGGAATAACTCACGATGGTTACCAAGGGCAGCGACCATTTCCATCTCTGTTGCACGACGAGACCACCAGGATTCGCGGTCTCTCTTCAGGCTAGCACGAAATTTTGCCCGGAGCTCTTTGCGAGTTTCATTGTGTTCGCTTCCAGCCGGAATATGCCGGCGAGCATCTAAAAGTTCCAAAGACTGTGAAGAGACTCAATGTTCATGTTGGCGATTAGACATACCACATGAGGATTTGCCTGCTGCTAGTAAGGCCTGTTGCATATGAGACCAGTGAGCTTCAATTGCATCCAGTGAGCGTTTATCCAACTCGGATGACAACGTAATTTGATAGGCGTTCAGAACAGCTGGATTCACCAGTCTGCCGGTGTCAATGCGCTCACAACATCGTCGCGGGCGTCCGCCAAAGCGCATCCGCAGGTCAGCACATACAAGTGCATGATCGGTGTCAACACCTGTGCTCCAAATCGAGCGACAGTTCTGGACGCAGCCTCTCCAGCGGTAACTGATAGCAATGTGATCGATTTGCGTCCATAGCTGGTTCGAGGCTGGTGGGCGCCAAGTCACCCTTCGGCGGGTGCTGTGTCGGAAATTAGTGCTCGCAAGAAATAAGCGAGCATTCTCACACAAATGAAGTAACCGCTCACCGTTATCATTACGGGAGCCTATACCATGTTGGCCGCCCAGATGCAGCTCATCTGCGGATAATTTTCCAACTTGAGCGTTTAGATCCCCAGCCAGCACTACAGTGTCCGAACTTCTTCTGTGGCGAAGGAGTTCGTTCAGTTGGCGATAGAAGTCGTCTTTTACCGAGTCATCGCTACTGTTTGTCGGTGCATAGGCAGCGATAACGAATAGACACCTGTTAGTCCCGCGCAACTTCGAAGTTTTGAACGAGCCAGCCAATCGGACCGCACACATCCGGCTACTGATTGGAATCCAATCAACCAGAGCAGCTTCAGCCCGGGGACTCAGGGCAATACCAACACCGGCTTGGCCGGTGCTCGAAACTGCATCGTCACCGGATAGGCGCAATGAGAAAGTGCTGCTAGTGTCACTTGAAGGGGATCGCAGAGTGAGTACAAAGCTCGAGTCTTGCAGGCGGGTCTCCGATAGGCAGCAGATATCGATCGAGAGGGTCTCCAATGTTCGGGCAAGTGCTGCCTGTTGACCGATCTGAAGTAATGTGCGAACATTGAGGCATGCCAGTCTGAAGGAGGATCGAGGGCTCCAAATGGAAGCCGATGAACTAGAATGGACCGCTTGCTTGAACATGGGCCTGTTGACAGTGCAGCAATGACGCTCTGCGTTCACCTGTGAGTTGAAACTAAAAAACAAGCGACTATTGAAGCAAGGTGGGGGAGGGCCGAGAATTGGGGGTTGAAAACAGGGGGGATGCAAGTGAAGCTGGAACGGGACGATAAGGGTGAAAAAGCGCAAGAAGGGGAATAAGAAGATGGGAAGGCTTGAGCAGTAGCATCCAAACCCCTATCCACCCTGCTCGATGCAGCAGATAGGGCACCGTTGATTATCCTCTGCGGTGGCCAGAGCATCAGAAATTTGTTTGGGGAAGGATTCATTGTATTGCGTGGACAGGATACTATCAAGTTGCCCAGGCCTAGACAGGAGAATGATTAGGGTTCTCAACCAAAGCCTTTGGTTCAAAAACCCGGCCGCAAGGCAGCGGGTTTGGCACTGGACTACAAGGAGTCCGTTTTAAAGAATAAGGAGCCACCCTCATTCCAACCCCCAACCTGGATGACCAGGAGGCTGAGTTTGTCTGGCCTGTAACCATTGACCAATCTGGTATGAGTGGATCTGAAGGTGCAAAAACACCACGCAGTATAGCTCAATGGATCACTTAGGCACACAAACCATCGCACCACGGTAAGGTCTAGCCTCATAGCGATGGCAAAGTAGGCCACAAGAGAATATGAACATTTTCGTGGTTGCAAGTTGCACGAGACCCTCAGTTGTTAATCATTGCTAGATCTAAATTGTACGCAGGTCTGGTTAAAGTGAATTTGTTGGCACAACTTTCCGAACCAGACAGGAACCAGAACCCAGCGACCTGTTTGGAAGGGCAGCTGTACAAACGCGGCACAGTGACGCTGTACCCGTCTGTCTTCGTTGGTTCAGTCAGAAGCTTTTCTAATTGAGCAAAGTTGGTCAGGAGTCAGAAATGTTATCTGGTTGCGAGTTCAGTCAACATGCAACTAGGTTGATTTGTCAGGTAGTAATATTGACTTTTTATTGTGGAGTTACAGACTTCTACCATTGTTTGTTCGTCCAATGCCTTCTTGATGCAGTGTTGGTTTCTTCTGGGAAAATTTACTCTCTCCTTAGCACAAGAGGTACAACTAGGGAAAAATGCCTGCCGAAAATATGGGATGCTGTTGTTGATCTAGCCGTGCTTTAAGACCAATATTATCACGTACGGTGTGCACCCTATCTTCACCGTCAACAAGTTATGGTCTCCTGCTTCCGGATATTGAGGCCGAAGTAAAGTTCGTTGAGATGATACTGGACACTTGAGCAGCACATATCTGCCAACCGACGCGTATAACACCTCCCTCAACCCCATTGTGCTTTGACTTGGTGTTAACCAGCTGTGAACAACATGTGTAGGCCATTCGGATCCTGGAGCCTCTGGCAGCAAGCGATCACGCATTTCTTTACTGCCAACAAGGAAGTGTCGCTGCAGCAATCCCACGCACTGCATCCAGCTTACAACTACTGGAAGACGCATTTTGATGGCCTGACTCGAGCGGCTAGCCAAGTGGATTGGTCGCTGTCGCAATCTGCATCTGTAGGAGCTTACTCGTCAGTTACAAAGAATGGAGTAGACTCATTGTGTAGGCGCTTTGTGCCTCAAGTGTCGGAAAGTCGGACTGGTCAAGCTACCTTGGTTGATAAGGAATATCGTAAACTTGTTTGGCGGAGGCGCAGGCTGTGGGACAAATTCCTTTTATCAAGCTCGGTCAACGACTACGAGATGCGTAAAAACAGCAAAGCACCCGCAACAGTGGGAAAATGAGTAAGTGCAATCATTTCGAAGAACAACTTGCAGTCGCAGTAAAGGCCGCCCCTAAGAGAATCGGTTCGTTCGTTAAGCGGCGCCGGAAGCTGACAGATGATCTACCAGGGATAGAACACGCGGACAAATAGCTCCGAGCCTCCAGAGCTGAGCGTGCATCCGCACTGGCGGCGCACGTTGCTTTTGTGTTTGCAAATGACCAGGTGTCTGCACCAAGTTCGGCGTACATCGCCCTTAACGTACTCGATAGTTTGGATTGTGGTGCATAAAAGATGCATCAATTACTCGCCAACCTTGGACCTTGCCAAGCCTCCTGAGCTTGACGAGCTCTACCCACCGATTCTCAAGTCGTTATCGGCCATCATCGCGCCTGCCGTAACTGACCTGTTCAACATGTCTCTGTCTGAAAGTTCGTTGCCGTTTGGTTGGAAATGCGCGGTTGTAAAGCCGATTCCAAAAGGTGGTGACTCCAACAAAGTAGGCAATTACATGCCAATTTGTTTGACACGTATTCTGGTCAAGGTTGCTGAGAGATTGTGAAGAAGAGTTTTTCCTACAGCTGTTCTAGTGCACAGATCTCCTGAGGCCCGCGCAGGACGGTTTCTTATACCAGGTCGTTCATGCATCACCAACGTGCTCATGACGAGGCATGAATGGCTCTAAGCAGTGAATCAGGGAAGTCTGTCGACGTCCTCTACAACGGTTCTAGAAAAGCCTTCAACATGAACCATGAGGTGCTCCTCCACAAGCTGAGAGTGTGCGGTGTTGGTGGCTCACTGCACCACTGGATGCGCGAGTTCCCTGTGAGACGAAAGTAGAGAATACATGTCGATAGACATCTGACCAAATGGTATACTCCGACCGGTGACGTATCCCAAGGCACGGTGCTGGGCCTACATTGTTCCTGATTTATACCGGCGCTCTGCCAGTGACGCGATCATTTCGGAAGAGCTGATAATTAGGAATCATTAAGGTTGGGTCTCATGTATCGGGGGAGCACCACGTTTCAATATTGAGGACTGCTTGTTGGCCGTTGATATGCGCAAGCGTGCCTAGGAAGTACAATTTCTTGTTAATAGATCTGGCATTAAGTAGAAGTATAGAAAACGGACTGTTGGTTGTGGGGTTATTGTGTTGCGGTTCATTGTTATACGCGTTGTTGTAGTCAGGTATTATGGACGTAGGAGATATGAGTGCGAATACTGGGGTCGGGTCTACTCTTAACATGCGTGCTAATATAGGTAATATGTCATTTATGGTTGCCGATATTGCTGTAGACATGGAGGTGGATGAGGGAGCAAGTTTAATTTGCGATTAGGGTGGCAGTTGGCTAGTCGAGTCATCTGCAAAAAATTTTGCAACAATTTTTGCTGTGTCGGAAATCTGTTTGCTATCCACTGGAACTGACATCCCACACCTGCATGCCATCCGATTGCCTACCTGGGTCTGTGAAAACCCAGCAGCAACTCATTGGCTTGACACGAAAATATGAACTAAACGGTTAGCGAACCATATCACGTCGGTGCAAGTCATCCTTCTTTGTTGAGCTCTTAGAGTCCACCGCATACATCATAGATTGGTTGCGAAGGCGAATGTGCTTTGGCTTCTGATATCTTTCTTCCATTTCTCAGTCTCTCTGTTCAAGTACTCAATGATTTTGGTTTTATAGTACTTTTTAGATAGTCTGTGTTTATTTGCTTGTCTTACTGTGCTCCCCTCATTTTGTCCCATTCGTGTTAAAGTGTATTATCATGGTGACAAGTTAGCGTGACTGTATCCACCGTACACCGGAATAACGTTTGCGGCGTTGAGCTTAGGTTGGCGACCAATGAGCAGCACCCCGTCGTAACTTTCTTGGATAGTACAAGCTAGTAGATTCCTACTTGCTTTAAATGGGTAGGGGCAGTAGTACAACTGGTAAGAACGAGCATTCAGAAAAAGTAGAGTCGCTTGATCTACTCTCATAACAATTTCTACCTTATTTTCGTTTCATGTTTCCAGCTAGCGTCGAGTTACCGCCATTTGTACCAGACAGCTGCTGTGTCTACGAAGGTGCCCTGAACAATTTCCAAACCTATGAAGCGATTTTGAATAACTTCGGCAAAATCCTTAATCGTGAGGTGTGTGTAGGACTCAAATCCCTATTCCGCAACGATGTGTTAGCCCCCATCGCCAGTGATCCGGCAAGTGTCACAAGACCAAACAAATATTTACATGAAACGGTGAGTAGCACCGGATATTAATTTACAATTCCGCTTTCAGGGATGCCTGACACTTGTCTATCCAATCTACAAACACTATGCCACGTTGCTCGGGGGATTAGGTCTAGGAGGGGCTGTGTTAGCGGTGAGCAATGTTCCATTCGAAAATCTATACTTTTATCTACTTGGTTGTAAACATAGTAGTATGTGACTGCCCTATTTTTCAGATCATTGGCCTGGCGATCTCCTGCCTGCTGCTCTGGCACATAGAGCACGAACGGCTTTTACAAATTTCCGAAAAACACATTCCGGTGATCGAAAACACATGCAGTCATGGCGCAAGTTCAGGACTCCCTTATACCAAACCGACCACATCAGCCATAAGGACACTAAGCGAAGTGCCTTGAGTCAAAGAAACAGCGGGCTTTACTCACTGCATTTTCAATGTAACTTCTTTCACAGGTCTATAATGATTCATGCTATATGATAAGCTTTATCACTTTATATTATTATATTATAATGAACCCACAATGTGTCCAAATGTCTTACACCTACTTTCCAATGGAATGGGAATTGTTCAAGCGGAATCCGCTCCCACTCCCCACCGGGGCCGTTACCAAATGCTACCACACTATCAAGGACAGCGTATGGCTGGGTATCTGAACCCAGTATAGTCGTGTTATTCCACCTAATCTCCCGATGGCCCTGCTAGAGCGACAAACTCAAAGCACGCTGTGCATGACCAGTTTGGTAAAAATGAATCCCTGTCCGGCATTTGTCAAATAGACCTCGGAGCTCTCAACTGAGTAGTGTAAGCGATGACATTACTGCTATCAGACTACACGATGATGCCAGCAAAAAATTACTCATGAGATGCAATCTGTATTAATATCGAACTGCGTGTTGGAATTGGCGGATGACACTTGGTTTGTTGTTAATGTGTTCTGTTGCGCTTAACAAGTTTCCTTCCTGAAGCTGCTCCGTCTTTTGGTTGCCAATGGCCACAGAGTGTCTGAGCAAAAACTGGGGAAAAAGTGGTTTCCATTGCAACACTTGAAGCTACACCTACATACTCGGTGTTAGGCACAAATAGAATAGACGAAGACTTTGGAAGCATATGCTTGAGGGTATGGCATCCACGGACCGACTAGCATCTGCGACAGCAACCCAAGATAAGGGGATCATGGGAAGAATGCAGGTGCAACTTACACGAGAAGGGTTTACGCTGAACTTGTGACTAACTGCTTTGTGAGATATCGCTGACTCCTACATGCACGCACAAGCTTGGATGAGACCAGCATGTACTCCGGTCTTACACAGTACAATGGGTGGAATGCCATAGTCCGTTCCATCAGGGAAGCACCATTGTGTTTGTGTCATCAAGCAGACCAGGTTCCCTCCCGGTGCACAACAACAGCTGTCGTATTTCTGCAACCGGCGGTCGTGGTGAAGTCATCAAGAGGGTGTGTGACACTGTCAGCTTCCACTACTTGTCCTGCCAAACTTATTAACTTAACTGGGCCAGGTCGGATGAGCAGCAACACATGGGCACTGGTTACTGTGTTGGTGAGGCATGTTCGTTATCTCCTCCTGCACGGGCACGCACTCAACGGTGAGTGTCTTACTGTGTTCGTGAGGAACCTCAAGCAGTTGTTGGTCTAGGATCGGGTTTTGGTGATACCCGCCGACTGGTACAGGCTTGGGAGTGAGCAGCCCTGAAACCCTCTACTTCGGATACGATCACAGTGATCAAAATCGCAGACGTTTGTTTCGAAATAAACGGTGGACTTAAGTGGGATTGCTTGTCGTATGCCAGCACACGACGGGTATTCCAAAACCCAACACTGAACTCTAATTGCTTGCAGAGTTCACTGGATTAATGATGAAGACGTAAGCCAACAGATGCTATGTACCGGATTCCACCCACATATCGGGAGCTCTGTACATGCAGAGTGCAAATAAGGACGACGTTGGTCTGGGTGTGCTGCGTTGGAAAGCAGCAGCACCAATATTCCCCGAGTTGTTCGTCTATTTTAGAAGTACTCCTTGTGTGGGTGAACTCCAACAGGCAAGCACGGATCTCCTAGAGTTGATAACATACCCCCGAAGTCGCTAGAGGTGATAGGAGAGAAGAGAGAGTAGCTGAGTATTTCGCTCACTTCTTCCAACCCTGTTTTGACGAAATGTACGTGCCTGACATGTGGAAACACCGGACATTACTCCAATTCATAAGGGAAGTAGTCGTTCCTATCCATCCTACTACCCTTCCTTGCAAAAGCCTTGGAAGCTATTAATTCTGATGCGTTGACGGCCTAGTTGGAAGAAGTTGCCTTCCTTGCACCAGAACACCATAACTTCCGATGAAATCAAACGTACACTAAAGTTCTACTACTAGCGCGATCCAGCTGGACGGAACCAGTAGACCCTGACACAAGAGCTAACGTACTCCTTTCTTGACTTCTCATAGGCATTCAACTGGTTAGAGCATGGCAGTCTTCTCTCCAGATACTAGACCTTCATTTTTGGTGACCCACTCCTAGTACGGATCAGAAGCTTTCTTCAACGACGGCGCTTGGAAGTATGAGGGCGTGAATCGCCGTCAGATTCCATACAATTTGTATGCGCAATACCATATGGATCGCAAACAGGGCCACAATTATTTTGCCGTATCCCAACGTTATCGCATGCCTCATAAACTCGAACTACCTGCTTTGTGTAGATAAAATGAAAGTGTGGAGAAGAATCAATATACCAGACGATATTAATCGTGCCGCTTAACTACAGAGTAGTTGAAAAATCAAAAGGCTAGGCATTAATATAAATAAGAATATTGTACAGCTAATAAAGCTATATATTAGCCAGCTTGACTTATCTCATGTGTTTGCGTGATGGCTGTGAGTCCGGTTGCGGTGCGATTGCGATTGCGACTATGCTGCGTCAGGCCTTGTGTACGTGAACGGAAGCGTGTGCGTCCGTTGTCCGGTCGCTCCAGTTATGTAGTGTGCACTCTGATGCGACGTAGGTACATCAGTGGAGGCGCGATAAAGTGCACTCCCAATAGCGTAAGTTTGTTACGTGCTTTGTTGCACCCACGTGGTCATTCGTTAGAGGTCAACTGCTGTTTTGACGCCGGCGTGGATCACGTGGGGTATATCGCATGGTGTGTGGTTCGGCTTTGCCATGCAGATTAGGTGAAAAGTGCAGTTCCACGAGCAAGCTTTTTGTGTAAGTGACAGAAGGACCTAGCGATATTACAGTGCAGTTGTCATCCAAAAGTAGTTCTACACAATGTGAACAAATGTAGACTGCTGCATCTACGGAACCAAGTAGAGTTCTCCTACAAACCCGGCAACCATTAGCCACAAATGTGTTCTGGCGTAAAGGTTCTTAGTGTTTTGGTCCAGACCAACCTTGGATCATCTACTAAGGGTGAGAACGCGTCAATGGTTAATGGCATATGTCGGAGGAAAAGCCGAAGCGCGACAGTCCCACCGGATGGTCGCTTGCTGGTGAGCAAGCTGAAGGCAGGAATGGTAACAAGTGATAGTGAACAACTACAAACTGCCAACTTGTCGGTTACAGTGTTTCCCGTCTAAGCGGTCCAAACTTGGTTTCATGTGTTATCCAAACTCCTCGTCTGTAGTTTCCAGGCAAAAATGGAGGTGGGTTGATTTATTTTTGTTTTCCTGCTGTTTGTGTGGGTCGTTTGGTCCACGTGATATGGTGTAGTACGGATATTGCACCATCCACACGAGCCTTGAACACGATCAACGTGGGGGCTGAAATTACAGCTTCTGAGTGGGTCGTATATTTGTGACAAACACGCAGCGATTTGATGTTTCTTCGATATTCGAACCAGCTGTATTGTTTTACCAATTTGAGCTGATGACATCTCAGTCTATTGTTGTGAATCAGCTTCAACAGGTGTTGGCACGGGTAATTAGGTTTGCGTAGAATTTGGTAAACCACGCAAACGCCGCTAGCGTCTACTGAAAATGCCTACCACTTTGGGGCACTGTTAGTATGATGCGTGGCGCAGCCCCTTGACATTTTTGGTCGCCCGACCTTGTGGAATCTCCTAGGCAATGAGGGTCCGCTTTAACCTTGGGTGCCATGCTTTAATTGCATATTCTACATGAAGGTGTATGTAAGCGAGAAGTAGTTGGCGGAAGATAGGCGATTAAAATGCCCGAAAGCTTTCCGCAGAAGCCACATGATTTGGATCTCCTTCCACGATGCTTTTTCGGACTGCTCCGAGCAGCCCAGATATTCCTGGACCAGCAAACCGAGATCCTTTCGCGAGAAAAGCATTGCAGATCCTGGTCTCCCAGCATATAAAGGTGAAGCGTTCGGTGTCTTCAATGGAGCACTTGACATTTACCTACATTGAAGAAAATTTGCTTTTGGACCGACCATCCATAGACCTAGTCAGGGTCGTTTTGAAGCTGGATACGGTCTTCTGGAGCTCTGATCGCTCGCCAAACTTTGCTGTTATTAGCGTAGAGTAAACAGTTTGACGTGTTCTGACTCCCACTGGATCGTTAGTGAAGACCAAGGATAATCGTGGCTCCAGTACCGAATGCTGTGGCACCGCACACCCACACACCTGTTCGAGAAGAAACTGAAGATTCCCCCAAGGAGACCGTCCTTAATGCCACGTCTCTGAAGTTTGCGAGAAGGATATGATGGTCTAACAGGTCTAATGTTTTAGAGAAGTCAAGGTAAACCACATAAATCCTGCGCCAGCATCCACCGTTTCGGACCGTTTCGTGCTAACAATAGGTTCTGACGGAAGCCGTGTTGCTGCTGAGCAATGTGCTCCAAACCGTCCTGATAAGACATGAGGGTGTCGGCAATGAAAGCTTCCATAACTTTTAAAAGAACTGGCAGTAGAGTCGCTGGTCGATAAGTAGCTGGGTCGGAACGACTACTCCATGGGTACAGTGGCGTTATGATCATGTGTTTCCGTATTACAGGAACGCGCCTCTTGTCAAAGCAATGCTAGAACAGCCGCGCTAAGAGTTCAGTCAAAACATTAGCCTCCACAACAAGTGTATTTGGCCAAATGCCGTCAATTTCTGGACAGGCGTCCAGGCGCACGGATAGCAGCGTTTGATCGCGGTATCTGTCGTAAAACCTATATGCGTGAGTCCTCGTGGAAACACCATACGTTTGGGCATATTGTAGTTGCAGTACATTCGAGGCTGCTTTGGCAGTCCGAGTCAGACCATACACTGTTTATAGAGGAGGGAATCCACTTTTCACCTTGCGGAAGCTGTTCACGTGCTTGTACAGAAGCTTAAGATTTGCAGTTAATCGCTCGGCTAAGGCATGTTGATAAGCTACGTTGTCCTCGCACCCTAGTTGGGTACAGTGGTTACAGTGGACAACAGTGGCCTTCCAGATACTTGGACTCCGATCCGTTTTCTGAGCAAACCAAGCTGC